CTCTGTTGCCCAGGCTGGAGTGCAGTGGCACAATCATAGCCCACTGTAACCTTGAACTCCTCCCTCAGCCTCCCAAGTAGCTGGGACTATAGGTATGTACCGCCATGCCTAGCTAATTATTATTATTTTTTGTAGAGATGGGATCTCGCTATGTTACACAGGCTGGTCTAGAACTCTGGCCTCAAGTGATCCTGCTGCCTTAGCCTTCCAGAGTGCTGGGATTACAGGCGTGGGCCACAGTACCCAGACTTTTGTTTCTAATATAGATGTTCAAGGATATTAATTTTCTCTCCAGTTGCTGCCTCAGTCACATTCCTGTACTTATTTTCATTATAAAATAGTTTGAAATTGTTTTCTATATTTATTTAAACTAATTTTTATTGCTTCTTTTTTGGTTCATGAGCATTAGGAAGTTAATTTCTATTTTTATGACTTTTTTAAAAGTTGAGTTTTACTTTATATTCAGTGAAATGCACAGATCATGTGTGTTGTTTGATAAGTTTTACCAAATGTAGATACCTGTCTAAATCACACATCTATTAACATAGAGACCATTTTCATGACAGCAAAAACGTATGCTTTTTCTATCAGCTCTTTCTCTTCCCTGCACAACGTGAAGCAAGGACTATTTTTATTTTTAGCATCACAGAATAGCTTTGCCTTTTATAAAATTTAGCATAAATGGAATCATACTATGTGATTCCCTTTATGTCTAGGTTCTTTTCTTCATTACATTGTTTTTGAGCTTTTTTCATGTCCTTGCTTATATTTTATTGTCATTCTCCTCCTTCCTGTTTTTCTTCTTCTTCCTCCTCTTCCTTGTTCTCCTCCTCCTCTTTCTTCATAGTGTCACATTTCATGAAAATACCACAATTTACTTACCCATTCTCCTGTTGATGGATATATGGGCTGTTGCCAGTTTGGGGCAAATATGAGTGAAGTTGGTATGAGTGTTTTTGTACCAGTGTTTTTGTAGACTATGTTTTTCTTTCTCTTGGGCAAATACCTAGAAGTGGAAATGCTGAGTCATCTGGTAGATGGGTGTTTACCTTCATAAGAAGCCAAACAGTTTTCCAAAGAAGTTCTACCATTTCATACTCCTACCAGGAAAATCCTAATATTTGACATTTTATGTCTTTAATTTTAATTATTCTAGTGAGTAAAATATTATATTCTAGTTGTTTTTAAATTAGTTTTATGATTTTATAATGTATAGTTTACATACAAAAAAGACACACATATTATTGGGCATAATTTGGCAAGTCTTGACAAATGCACACACCTGTGTGTGTAACCACCACCCTAATCAAGATATAGAACATTTCTCTCACCTCAGAAGATTTCCTTATGCTTCTTTACAGCCAATTACACCCACTTCTGCCCCAGGTTACAGTCTCATTTCTACCACTCTATATTGGTTTTGCCCGTTCTAGAATTTTACATAAATGGAATTACACATGTTGTACCCTTTTATTGTATGGCTTCTCTCAGCACAATTTTTTTTTGAGATTCATCCATATTTTTGAGTCTAATGTTATTTATTCTTTTTGACTGTGGGTGTGCCACAACTTGTTTATCCATTCTCCTGATGATCGACATTTGTTTTTTTTTTCTTTCATTTCTGGCTAATTATAAACAAATCTATGAATATTCTTGTACAATAATTTTTTGGATCTATGTTTTTATTTCTCTTGTGTAAATTCCTAGGAGTAGAATGGCTAGACTACATGAAGGTGTTTGTTTAACTTTTCAAGAGACGATCAAACTGTTTTTCAAAGTAGTTATCTATCAATACCTGTGAAAAGAAGGGAAGAGGAAAACCAAAGGAAAAAAACACAGTGGTTACATAATTTTACATTCCCTATAACAGCGTATGAGAGTTTCAGTTGCTTTACATCCTTGCCGACACTTGGTATGGTTTTCTTAATTTTAACTCTTCTATTATGAGTGTAGTGGTTTTAATTTGCATTTCCTTGATCACTTGATAGGCGTTAATTTTTTTTTTTTTTTGAGACAGAGTTTCGCTCTGTCGCCCAGGCTGGAGTGCAGTGGCCGGATTTCGGCTCACTGCAAGCTCCGCCTCCCGGGTTCACGCCATTCTCCTGCCTCAGCCTCCCGAGTAGCTGGGACTACAGACGCCCACCACCTCGCCCGGCTAGTTTTTTGTATTTTTTAGTAGAGACGGGGTTTCACCGTGTTAGCCAGGGTGGTCTTGATCTCCTGACCTCGTGATCTGCCCGTCTCGGCCTCCCAAAGTGCTGGGATTACAGGCTTGAGCCACGGTGCTGGGCCGATAGGTGTTAATGTTGACCATCCTTACACATGCTACATATTCTTCTGTGAAGTATCTGTTTAAACATTTCACCTGTTTTTGTGGACTATCTTCTTCTTATTGAGATGCAAGAGATATTTACATATTGTATTTATAAATTATTTGTCAAATATATTCTCCTAATATGTAACATACCTTATCATTTACTTAAATAGACCTATTAATAAGCAGATTTTAATTTTGATAAAATACAACATCAATATTTAATGGTTAAGGCTTTTCTTGTTTTAGCTAAGAAATCTTTGTCATTCCAAGTTCGTGATAGTATTTTCCTTTATCTAGAGACTCTGTAGTTTTAACTTTTATATTTAGGTCGTGATCCATCTCAAATTAATTTTTGTGTATGTGATGAGGTAAACATCAAGATGCACTTTTTTCCCATATGGATATCCAATTGTTCCAGCACCATTTTTTAAGAATTTTTTCCTCATTCATTTCTTCTGGTGCCTTTGTAAAAATGCAGTTGACTATTTATTATTAAATTCATTTCTGACTCTGTTCTGTTCCATTTGACTATCTGCTTATCTTGACATCAATACCACACTGTCTTGATTATAATATTGTTATAGTAACCAGCAATGTAAGTCCTCCAAATTGGTTCTTTTTTTCAAGATATTTTTGTTTTATTTTGCTGTTACTATTATATGTCCTTTGCATTTTCACACACATTTTATCATCAGCTTCTCAATTTCTACCAAAAAAACAAAAATCAAAACAACACATGCTGGAATTTTGTTTGGGATTACATTGACTATAGATCAATTTGGGTATAGAGATATATCATCCATGAACATGGTATATCTCTCCATTTAGTTTGGCTTTTAAAAATTTCTTTCAGCAATGCTTTTCAAGTTTATATGTAGAGATTTGTTTATTTTATTTTTTAAGACAGGATCTCAGCCTGTTGCCCAGGCTGGAATGAAGTGGCATGATTTTGGCTTACTGGTGCCTTGACATTCTGGGCTCAAGCAATCCTCTTTTCTCAGCCTCCAGAATAGCTGGGGCTACAGGTGCATGCCACCACACCTGGCTATTTTTTCTTTTTTTTTTTAAGAGATGAAGTCTCGCTTTGTTGTCAGGCAGGTTGTAAACCCCTGGCCTCAAGTGAGCCTCCTGCCTCAGCTTTCCAAAATTTTGGGATTATGGGAGTGAGCCACTGCACCCAGTCCATATGTAGAGATATTAAACAAATTTTGTCAAATTTGTTACCAAGTATTTTATGTTCTTTGCTGATCATGTAAGTGACAGTTCTTGAATTTCATTTTAAAAATTTTTTTGTAGCTAGTATATATACAATTAACTGTTATATATTGACCTTGTAGGCTTTGATCAAAGTTTATATTTTATTAAAAGTGAGTTTTTTTGTAAGCTCCTCAGGAATTTCTTTATTTGTAAGTAGAGAAAATTTTACTTCTTCTTTTCTAATTTTTATAAGTTATCTTTACTTGCCTTATTTCACAGGATAGGGCCTCCAGTACAATGTCGGCTGTAAGTGGTGAGAGTCAATACTCTTGCTTTGTTCTTGATTTTGGAGAGAAAGCATTTGGTCTTTCACCTTTAAGTGTGATGTGAATTAAAGGATTTTTAAGAGGGCTTTGTCTAAGTTTAAAGTTTCCTTTGATTCCTAGGTTGCTGAGAGTTTTAATTATAAAATATTAAATTTTAACAATTATTTTTTCTGTAGTTATTGAGATGATAAAATTATTTTTCTCCTTAACTCTGTACATATGATAAACTATGTTGACTGATTTTCAAAATGTTAAACTAACATAGCATTCTTGTGGTAAGCCCCACTTAGCCATGGTACATTATCTTTTTTATGATGACTAAATTTGATTTGTTGGCTGCTAATTCAATTTGTTAAGAATTTTTGCATTTATATTCCTGAGGATTATTTGTCTATGATTTTATTTTCTTGTACCTTACTGGTTTCGTACTCTTTTGAAAGAGTTTGTTTAATGTTGGCATTATTTATTTCTTAAATGTTTGAAATAAATCAGTAATAAAACCAACTGAACTTGGAGTTTTCTTTAGGAAAAAGTTTTAAACTATGAATTCAATTTTTAAAATATTAATGGAGATTTTCTTTTTGAATTAGTTTCTGTAATTTTTATCTTTCAAAGAATTTGCCCATCTCATGTAGGTTATTGAGTTTGATGGTATAACCTTGTTCAAAATGTTTCTTTGTTATCCTTCACTGTCTGTTGATTCTATAGTGATGTTCCCTTTTTCATTGCTAATATTGTTATTTCTTCCCTTTTTGTCTTGATCAGTTTATCTAGGGGTTTCTTAATTTTATGTATCTTTTCAAAGAAGAAACTTTTGATTGTGTTGGTTTTCCTTATTTTCTTTTTTCTATTTTATTGATTCTGGCTTTAATATTGTTTTCTACCTTCAATTTATTTTGAGTTTAAATTTCTTTTCTCTTTCTATCTTATTAAAGCGGAAACATATATCAGTAAGTTTTAAATCTTTATTTTCTTCTATACTCATTTAAAACTCTAAATTTCCTAAGCATTGCTTTATCTGCGTCCAACATATTTTGGTATGTTATGTTTGCAATACTATCCAGTTCAAAATATTTTCTAATTTCCTCTGTGATATTTTTTCTTTTTGATCTATGGTTATTTAGAGGTTATTTTTAATTGCTAAGAACTTGTGGATTAAAAAAAAAAAGGAAGACTTCATGAATTTGCATGTCATCCTTGTACAAGGGTCAGGCTAATCTCTGCATCATTCCAGTACTAGTCTATGTGCTGCTGTAACAAGTACTTGTGGATTTTACATGTATCTCTCATTTACTGATTTCTAATTTATTTCCATGTGGAGAGAGTATTATCTGTGCAATTTTTGCAATGCATTGAGACTTACATTATGGCTCAGCATATGGTCTATTTTGGTTAATACCTGATGTGCCCTTGAAAATAATGTATGTTCTGGAGTTGTTGGTTATTGTGTTCTGTAAATGTCAATAATGTTAAGATAGTTAACCTAATTCATATCTTTTCAAATCTAATAGATTTTTTTTTAGTCTATTTGACCTATCACTTCCTGAGAGGGTAAATTTTGTTGTTGTTGTTGTTGATACAGGGTTGCTCTAAAAACTATAATATACATTCTTAATTTATCATAGCCTACCTTGCATTAATATTTTTGACTTATTAGAAGTGAGTATGATACAAGATATTCCACTTATCCACTTCTCTTTCATTGTGCTACTGTTACTGCTCATTTTACCTTCGTATGTCATAAACCCCACAATGATGATTCTCCCTTTAACAACACATGTTTTAGAGAAATTAAGAAATAAAAAAGTGTCTTTATTTTCATCACTACACTAATGAGGAAAGAAAAAGTATTTTATATTCATATACTTACCATTTCTGGCATCTTTCATTGGGGAAGGGGGTGCAGAACCCAACTTTCTAACTGATATAATTCCCTATTTCCTTTCAGCCTGAAGATCTTCCCTTAGCACTTCTTTTTATTGTCTCTGTGTGTGCAGGTCTACTGTTGAGAACTTGCTCAGCTTTTACCTATATAAAAATCTTTTATAGTCCATCTTTGTGCTTTCCATGTCATATTTAAGAAATACTTGCCTAACTGAATAGGTTTTTTTCCTGTTGTTTATTCTAGAAGTTTTATGGTGTTGCCTTTTACATTTAGGTGTATCCATTTTTAGTTAATTTTATGTATTTTGTGAGGTAAGAATCAAGGTTCATATCATTTCTATACAGTTGTTCCAGCACCATTTGTTGTGAAGATTATCCTTTCCCCATCAAATTACTTTGGCACTCTTGTTGAAAACTGATTGACAATATGTATGCAGATCCATTTCTAAATTCTCCAATCTGTTTCATTATCCTATAAGTATCTCTCTGTAATAACACTACATCGTCTTGATTATTACAGCTTTATAAGAAGTCTTGAAATTGGGTAGTGTTAGTCTCCCAAGTTGGTTCGTCTTTTAAAGAATTGTTTTGGCTCTCCTAGGTCCTTCGCATATCCAAACAAACTTTAGAATCAGCTAATCAATTTCTACAAAAAAAAATCTGGATGGAATTTTTCTTAGAATTACATTGAATATATATATTGATATGGAGAAAATTCAGATTGTAACAATCTTGAGTCTTTGGTTCATAAACACGGTATATATCTACATTTATTTGGATCTTCCCTAAAATCTTATAGTAATAGTTTTATAATTTTCAGTCTTCTAAATTTGAAGTTATACATCTTTTTCAAATTTATTACCATTCCACATTTTTGATACCATTGTGTTATTGCTTTTTAATTTCAATTTCAAATTCTGCCTTGCTAGTATATGGAAATTAATATTTGTATATTGACCTTGTGTTCTGCAGCCTTGCTTACTCACTCATTACTGCTAGTAGCTTTTTTAGTAAGTTTTCGGGAATTTTTACACAGATAATCAAGCTGTCTTCAAAGATAGTTCGATTTCTTTCTTCATTATCAATCTAGATACCTTCCTTTTTTCTTTTACTTTCTTTATTGCATTGGTTAGGATCACCAAAGCATGGTTAAATAAAAGTGGTAGAAGCATACATGTTACCTCCTTTCTGATCTTAGGGAAAAACATTAAGTCTTTCACCATTAAGTGTAATATTAACTATAACAGTTTTGGGGGATGCCCTTTATCAGACTGAGAAAAGTTCATCCTATTATTGTTTCTCTGTGAGTTTTTCTTTCATGTAAATAAATTTTGAATTCTTTTCAAATGCTTTTTCTGTATATACAGAGATGATTGTATTAGTTTATTTTTACTAATGTGGTGAATTACATTTTTATTTATTTATTTTTTGAGATAGAGTCTCACTCTGTAGCCCAAGCTGGAGTGCAGTGGTACAATCTCAGCTTACTGCAAACTCTGCCTCCTGGGCTCAAGTGATTCTCATGCCTCAGCCTCCCAAGTAGCTGGAACTATAGCTGTGAGCCACTACGCCTGGCTAATTTTTTGTATTTTAGTAGAGGCGGAGTTTCACCATGTTGCCCAGGGTGGTCTCGAACTCCTGAGCTCAGGCGATCTGCCTGCCTCAGCCTCCCAAAGTGCTGAGATTACAGGTGTGAGCCGCCGCATCCAGCCTACATTGATTTTTGAGCATTAAAACAACTACAAGGCTTATCCTGAGATAAATCCCACTTATGACATATTATCCATCTTCAATATTGCTGCATTTGATTGGCTAAAATTTTGTTTAAAGCTTTTACTTCTATATTTATGAAGGATATTGGTTTATAATTTCCTTTTCTTGTAATGGCTTTATTTTATTGCAATTTGTATCAGGTTTTGCTATTAGGGCAATGCTAGACTCAGAAGAAGTTTGGAAGTGTTTCCTCCTCTTCTATTTTCTGGAAGACTTTGTGTAGAATTTGTATTATTTGTTCCTTAAATGTTTGGCAGAATTCATCAGTGAGCCTATTTGGGTGTGGAGTTGTTTTGTGGGAAGGCTTTTACCTATAAAGTTCATTTATTTCATAGTTATATTAATAGCAATGGAACTATCCACATTATTTCTTCTTGAGTGAGCTGTGGTAGTTTGTGTTCTTTAAGAACTTTGTCCATTTGCATGTAAGTTGTCAACTTTATTGACAAAGTTGTTCATAATATTCTGTTACTATCCTTTTAATGTCTAGGATTTGTGGTGATGGTCTCACTCTTGGTAATCTCTGTCTTCCCTCTTTTATTTCTGATTAGTCTGACTAAAGACTTATTCATTTGTTGATCCCAATGAATCAGTATTTGGTTTCATGAGTTTTTCTCTATATTTTTCTATTTGCTTTTTCTTTAAATTCTTATCTTTATTATATCTTTTCTTCTGTTTATTTTGGGTTTAATTTGTCCTTCTTGTATTAAACTTTAAGGTTAAAGTTTAGGTCATTGATTTGAGAACTTTCTTGTTTTCTAATACAAATGTTTAATGTCATAATTTTCCCTCCATACTCTACTTTAGCTGTATCACACAAATTTCATATGTTATGTCTTCATTTTCATGAAGTTCAAAATATTTTCTAATTTCACTTGTGATTTTTTTATTTGAGTCATGAGCAGCTAGAAGTGTGCTATTTCATTTCCAATTATTTGAAAACAGTAGTATCTTTCTGTGCTTATTTCTAATTAAATGCCACGTGGTCATAAAACATACTCTCCGTGATCTGAATTCTTTTACATTTGTTGAGGCTTGTTTCATGGCTCACGTCATGTTCTACCTTGGTAAATATTTTATCTGCCCTTGAAAGAATGATCTTCACCCACAGCTGGTGCAGTATTTTTCCCATATTATTAGGTCAGATTGGCCGACAGTTATGTCTTCTATATCCTTACTGATTTTCTGTTTATTTATTCTATCAGTTATTGAGAGAAAGATGCTGTTTTTTGTCTTTGTTCCTGTAGTCTAGAATAGCTCTTACTCTAGAACTACAGTGGTTTTACTTTTAAGCTATGGATTTTCTGGTGTCTCAACTGAATGCATGGTGCTGTTTAGTAAGGCCTAGCTAGTCAGACCTCCACAATTCCCCACTGCTGTATACCCATCAGCATCTCTAGTCAGCTCACAGATTTTTGCCCCACAGATTCGAGCTGATACATCACTCAAGGGGAAGTCTGTGCAGATATCTGAGCTCCTGTGCACAGCACAGTACCCCATCCAATTCCAGCTGCCTTGGAAGCCCCAAACTCCAGGCACCATTTCTTCTTCCCATGAGACCACGGCTCTGTTTGGGTTCCACTTCTCTGTGTGGTAGTTTGGAAAGTGGCCCCGAACAGGAAGCTAAGGTGAATCTGGAACTAGCCTTTTCTGTAGGTAGTACAGTGTGGGGCAGCTAGTTGCAACTCAATAGCTATTTGTTGAATGAGTGAAGGAATTCAATGGGATCCGCACACTGCCTATTAAGGTTTTAAAGGTGTCTACGTCTGGAAGAAGGGAAGCCTGTGAAGCTGAAATAATGATGATGATGGATGATGGGGAACAAGCAAGTCCCAAGTTGTAAACATGGGGAACAAGCTTGTCTGGGGGTTCAGAAGAAGAAGAAACCATCATATCACACATTTGGGTAAAATCATGTGAATATTCCCTTTCTCCCTTTCCCTATGGGGAGCTCTGTTTTATCAAAAGGCAGAGTGTTGGAAGCAACAGAGTTGGGGTTTAGCAGTGGTGTCCAAATATTTTAATCACATCCCCCATTAGTAAAATAAAAATTCAAATCATCTTCCTAATATAGGTACATTTATTTATTTATAAATTATTTTCATGTATCATAATTGGCTAGTGTCTCAAGGCATAATATGCACTTAAGGTGATACTTACATTAAGGATAGTAAACAAATTCATTCTCAAATTATATTCTTGGTCATCCTGGGCTTTATGACTGGCTTTATATCATATCCGATTATGTGAAAACAAAGTGTGACCTAGAATAGATGAAACACCTTGAGATGTTCTAATATTTAGTAGTTTGTTCCTCACTTCAGGGGATTTCATTGGACACCTATGTTGGAGACCTTTGGCTTAGGGAAAAGGCCTTAGGGAAGTCAAGGGGCCTGGCTGAGGTCAGCACCTGGCTTCCTTTGAGAAGCTGCCAACTCTCCCAGCTAGAAGCACGCTCCTGCTTCCATCTCCTGCACTGCTCTCATAGGTAGTGTTAGTAACGAGGCAGCTGGAACGGGGAAAGCCAGCAGCCCTCAGTGTGAAACCTTGTCACAGCTTTGTCACTAGCTGGCTCTGGGACCTTGAGCAAGTTGATTCTGTGGATCT